TATTACGGAAAGGACTTACAATGCGAAGCCGTGGAGGATTCAAACTCGCAGTTCCCCGACTCTCTTTGGTGCCGTTTGCAGTTAAAAGCCAGGGACGCTTGCCTTATTGTCTTGGTGTACGGCGCCTCTAACTCAACACCCGAAACCGACTACCACCTAGCGGCTGCTTTGAGGTGCAGTTTACAACAAAAGTACACCCACATTCTTATCATGGGTGATTTCAACCTACTTTGTTTAGAAACCCCGCCACTATCGGAGATAATTTAAAACCGATTTACAAGATCTAGTAACTACTGTGCCTCTTTACGATCACATCACTTTGCCCACTCGGTTCAGAACTGGTAACAGGCCATCTGTGTTGGATCTTTTGTTTACCAAAGAGGAGCATATGATTGATACGTTGGTTTTAGACTGCCCGTTGGGTCGCAGTGATTACGTTGTGATCAGTCTCAACTTCGTCTGCTATGCAGTATATCCGAATAAGAACGATGAGACTGTGCGAACCATCACAAACTACCATCGATTAGCCCAGCTCGCCAACGCCACAACTTGGTCTCTCCTCGAAGATGAACCCCCGGAAGTCGCCTGGCTCGAGTTCGTCAAAATATTCAGTCGGCTAATTGCACAGGCTTCGGAGATAAAAGCTTGAAATAAGTGCAACTCAGTTCCTTTCGTTAGGAGCAGAACTCGAAAATGGATGACAGTACGCAACGCAGCAAGCCGAGTGTACAGTGAAGCTCCAGCACCAGAAGCTTGGGACAAATAACTAGCCCAAGGTAACCACTGCCCTCAACTGTTAAGAGAAGACGAAGCCGCCTATCAGCAGAATATCGCAACAACCTTCAGTGCTAACCACAAACTGATGCACAAGCACGTTAATGGCCTACGGAAAATTAGGCTATATTGCAAAAGTTGACGTTTCTACGCAAACACAGTTCTCCGGGTGTCGACACCATTCGTCTAGAGGCATTGGAAGCAGCAGCAAGCCAACTGGCAGGATCTTTAACTCAGTTTTTCCAGCGCTGCTTAGACCAGAACCAAGGTCTCGCCATGTGGAAGCTTGGAATAATAACCCCGATTCAAAAGGTGGAAGCAGAACCGATCCCTCCAACTACCGCCCAGTAACCCTTCTTCCTATACTCTCCAAGGTCATGGAATCCATAGTTGCGGATGCACTGGTGTGATATCTAGAAAACTGCAACCTCATCACTCCTGAACAGCACGGTTTCCGTCGACAGCGGTCATGTACAACTAATTTACTAATTGCACGCAGTAGTTGGACCGAGGCAGCCGACGCTGGAGAAGGTGTTGATGTGATCTACCTGGATTTTTCCAAGGCTTTCGATCGTCTAGACCATCGGATACTACTATCCAAGCTGCAGCATTACGGGATCGGCGACCCTCTTTTAAGCTGGATGGTCAACTTTCTACTTCAACGGCAATTAGTGGTCAGAGTACACAGCTCTCTATCGGACCTCATACAAGTTGAGTGTGGTGTTATTAGGAGGACAGCTATTAGACATTCAGTTATTGTGAACGAGCTTGATGGCTATTCTTTACTCTTCCTATTTTCTATTTCTTGACTGTTGTTTAAAGGCTCTACTGGGTTAGCCCGAATGGTACACCCACGTCATTGTTAATGGACGCTCATCGTCATGTCCTTTTCATCAGCGCCATTTACAAGTACCTGTTCCATTGGTTGTTTCTTCTTATCACTGTTCTGCTTGGTTATGTTAAAGAAATATTTAGTTGTCACATGCTTATTGTACTAGCTTTTAACTTTTGGGTCTGCATTCCTAATTCTCGTTTGGTTCGTGACTTTTGTTTAAACGTTTCATTTCGTCATTCTGATTGGCCAGCGCCCGTCACTGTAAATGGACATTCGCTTTACGCTTGGAGTCGAATTATGCTATTTTTAAGGACATATACGATTCGCTCTTGAGTACACAGTTGCTTATTCGCCGTAGCATTTGACGTTTTTCCGTCAGTTGGTTGGCTCAAGTGTACTTTAGTAGCTTCCCTTCATTTTGCCCTCAAAACTATATAAACAACTGTGATTGCCTGTATACAAATCTCCTTCTGGCTCGTCTTTGGACTTCTTCTTGCGGTCGTGGGGTGAAGGCGGCAGCGGCGAAACAACAGGTGTGCCGCAACGCTCAGTTCTAGGTCTAGGTTTGTTTTTGGTGTTTATTAATGACCTTGCACACGGAATCGCTTCAAACGTCCTAATGGTTGCAGACGATATCAAGATCTGGCGCTGGATCCGGGCGAACGCCGACCAACATGTGCTTCAGAGTGATTTAGCTACGGTGTATCAATGGTCGACCCAAAACTTATTGCATTCCAACGTCAGTAAATGCAAGGCGCTTTCCATCCGACATCAGAGCAGCTACTCATACCGATTTGGAACAAATATACTACAACAATTAACTCTCGAACTTGACTTGGGTGTCCCGGTTCAAAATGACTTCGGTTGCTCCAGGCAATTCGGAGAGGCCTCGAAGACCGGGAACCAACACGTCGGGCTGTTGAGGCGGACGTTTGGACAAATAAACAGCTCCATGTTTCGACAAATACTCAGTGCGAATGTTAGCCACCATGTCGAATCCGCAATCTAAGTATGGCATCCATAGCTGAAACACGACCTTAATGCACTGGAGCAGCCACAACGCCGGGCATCTAAGAACGTAATTGGAATGCGCAATCTTTCCTACCAGGAGATGCTGCAACGATTAGGGTTATTCAGCGGAAGCTATCGCAGACTACGAGGCAAAATGATTATGGCATATTTGATACTGCGAGACCCACATCATGTGTGCCGCCCTTTACGACAACTCAGCAGCAATACAAACCTGAGGGGCCACTCATTAAAACTCGCAGAAATATACAGTCGTCTGGAGTGCTGCAGAAATTTCTTTTCCATTCGCGTCTGTCCCCCGTGGAATGCTCTCCTGGAATCGGTCTTCTCTGCAACGATACTAACAGTATTTAAAAGATGGTTGGATGATGCACTCATCCACTTACACTTTGTTACTTACCACTACGTCTCCATCCTACACATAGAGTTTACCGTGGCAGTATTTCTTGTTAACTGTGGGTGCTGTGAATCTAAGAGGATCGCAGGACTACAGCGGAGCAAACCATAATTCCTTTTTTTCATACTTAATGTATTAACTGTTTTACTATCATTATCATCATTATTGTTATATTGAAAACCCCACCAACTATCCAAATGGACTTGTAAAGCAACGCTTCTTAAACCGTATAAATTCATTGTTCATTGTATCGTCTACTCACTGTTCGTAAAGCGTTAGCAATCATTGCTTTAGGTGTGTTCACCTGACTAATTTGGATAACCTTTCCTAAATATCCCGTTTATAGCTCAGCGCATACATTCAGTGAAAGACAGGGTAAATCTAATGACGTGGGTCCCAACAATAGCACAGGCCAGACAACTTCCATCAAAATTGGATGCACAATTACGGGGCTTAGGTGCTGTGTACTAACACTCAATGACCAAAGCAAGCCAATTGTTCATTCTGTGGAGCTGGCAGTTTTCATTTGGCTGCCTCATGGTAAGTGAAACCCATCATCTCCAGCCACGTTACGCGTTTGTATACTCACTTGACAAACTGTGACTTGGAATTTGGTCACCAACAGCAAAGTGAAGTCAATAATTTTGACCGCCACAATTTGGCACTTGTCAGCGCACACCTTGCCTAAATGGTTTCGGACAGTTTTTATATTACGGTTTATTCAGAAACGCGTTAAAGGATAATAAGGGTAAATCAAAACGGAAATTTGTTTATACTTTGTCCACATAACAGCTGAGGTGAGGTTTTAACACGCCATTCATAACCTAACTAATTTTAACGTTTGGGAGAGCATGGCAGTTTTACCGCATTGAATTTCTGGGTGAAAATGTAAGTACTGTCTTCAGCAACATTAGCATACGTAACTTTGAAGGAGTTTATTTTGAATAATTCTACCGAATCAGTGTTGTCTGCTGTTTAAGAGCTGTTTGCTGTGTTTGTTCAATAGAGAAAATATTTATTCTCAGCCAGGTCTAGCAATAATACCACAGCACATTTGGAAAGTATAGGGGGTTGTATGAAATTGCTAAGATTTTCAGTTATATTTAGCCAACAGATTCCACCGGATCCAAGCACAACGTGCTGTTTACGGCTCAAATTCTAATACACGGTCGATAAAGCAATATTTCGCTGTTTAACTATTGGTAATTGCTAGAAAATCTTACTTGTCACATCGAAATCCGGTATCATTCAAGGGAACTTGTAGTGTTGGGACCAAGCTTGTTAGTTCAAGCTCACAAAACGTAAGACATTGGGAGCTGAACGGAGTTATATGGCAGTGAGTAATTAAACTTGGCTTTTAAACGTCACCAACCTTTCATAATATGTTGTGTATTAAATCCGGCAGAACAGAATGGCTTTGAAGCAAATGGGATGTGGCGAGTTCTTTCTACCGACAAATCTTAATGGCGTCCAGCGTTAATTTCGGAGTGCACAGTGGCTTTTCGACTGATCACACCTGATAACTGCAAAATGATCTATTTAAGCCTAAAAAGAAACTTTGTGCTCTTAATAAAGTGAGCACACGTATTAAACAAGTATTAAATGAAATCCATCTCGATGCAGTCGGTTTGTAATGCGTTTAAATAGGTTTTCTCCCATCGCTTATCCTCAGTTGCCCTGCCTATTTAGCACTTAACAAATGAAAACAAATATTTCAGCAAAAAAGAAAGACTATATTCAGAAATCCACCAGTAAAATAAATCAGTTAAAGAAATCCACAAATTAGCGGTCAGCTAGAGATAATAGTAGCCTACACACTTTAAGCTGTCTGCGGTTGAGACAACATGGTAGGAGTAATCTATGACTATTTATGTGGGGAAAACTAAGTTAAGTATCAGATTCTGGCTTATAATCCTGAGTAAAAGTAGCGTAGTCAACAATACAGATTCTTGCTTTTTGGGCCGTATGCGTCAGCGAACTACTGTGATCGAAATAGTTCCCCTGGTGTATTATATCAAAAGACTAGTTAACTCTATTCCATTTTCAGATTTGGACGACACGTTTGCCTTAACGAGTTGCCTATACCGTTTTTGTGAAAATATATCTTACGAAGGCCGTGAATGCATAGTCAACAGCGTCAATACTGCAAGGTTGGTAAAATAGCTCAACATGAACTAATATTTCAACTGATAAAATGAGTAATAAATTGCGCAAAACCAATGTAAACTTTTTATCAATAATTTATTCTCTTGCGTTTACTCCTATTCAATCCTAACTGTATTTTATGGTAATAATAACGACTTGTGTTTTGATAATGCTAGTGACTGAAACGCTGTAGGTCAAAAAATAAGTGAAAGCTACATCAGTCTATCGCTCTTCTCGTACACTCAAGACTCCAATTTAGTAAACTGTGAACGTCTTCCACGAAAATTTGTTTTCCTTCTATCTCTCATTTAAGCTTAACCAACTGAATATGAATGGTATAACATTCAGCATCCGCCTACAGAAAATGGGTTTTGCAGTACGTGTGAGTAGAAGGATTTTAGTAATAAAGTATTCGTCCCACCAGCTCCTACGCTACATAGCACCTCCGCCAATCTGGAAAGGCACTAGAGGCGTTTCCCCCTACTGTGTCTCGTAATTGGTGATCATCCCTGGGTCGCTGTGTATCGCTGTGTATCGCTGCTGTGTATCGCATCTATGACCGCTAGAAGCTGATGCGAACTAGCTAACGGCTAAAGACACTAGACCATAGGGAATGTTGAGCTAAATAATTTGTAGATATATTTGCTTTTTATCACAGGTTTGTGTCGTGGTAGCAAACAATAATTTAAACCATAAATGTATTAGATTCTTGTCACACGGTAGTTGGACATTTACAACATTGTGATTATCGACCACTTGTAGAATGCAAACAGATTGCAAGCATTGATGACTAACCAGTATCTCGTTACTCATGATAGCTCGACGGAAGATACAATAGTGCACAAAATAATGCATGCTAGATTTACCATGGGGGAATGTTTATCAGTTGAATAAATACTCCTGAACTTATGTCCGTGTTCGTAGCGTAGAAGCTCTCCGGCTCAGGCAAATAAGATGTTTGTTGACCGCGCAGGCTTAACAAACTGTATAGTTCCTAACTAATTTTAAATATGACAGATATCATTTTCTATCATCATCGCTTGGCTTAAGAGCGAAACACATTTTAAATATAATGAGTATATTGTTGGCAAGTGCATGTGGAACAAGTGCTCCAAACTATTCGATTTCTATTAACGGAACAACCACGAAAGATGAAAGAGCATTTTTCGTTACTAGGTTGGAAAAAGTATTTTATGACTGGTTCGTGACCTGTGAATGAAATCGAAATTTATGAAATGAAGGAAAAGAGCGTTTTGTAGAAGGAGAGATGGCACATGAAATCGAATGCAAATAGGTATCTTGAAGTGTGGCCGAAATTGTAGTATCTAGTCTAAAACGATATTTTAGGATACAATATTTTAGATATACAAATTTAAGTGCACATGTGTTTTCGATCAACAGCGAACATCCCGAAATTCCTGCAACCCGTTTTCAGTGCCTTACGCCAAATCAAGTTACTCCACCGGATGCCTTTCTTCGCGCAAGTGCCAACATACGGCATGAAGATTTGTGTACAAGGCAAACTCTACAAATGATTTGCTTTGTTAGGCGCTTTTCAGAGAAAGATGATTACGCGCCGGTAAGAAAATGTTTAATCTACTTCCCATTTATTTCTACATCAGCCAGAAAGGTTTTATTAGTAGCTGTTTGCTATGCATTGTTCTCGCACTCAGGGGAGAATGCTCTTTATCTGACGAGTCATCTATTTTACGTGTGATTACCAAGGAAGTAAAGTTGAAATAACTATTCGCGTTGCTTCTGATGCATAAAGTTAAAATTGTGACCCAGCAAACTGTTCTCTTAAGGGAAGGACCTAAAGTGAACCTTTTGAGATATTTACTGATTAAAATACACAAAGCGGAAATTATATACTTTGAGGTGGCAGGCGTCGAAATACTTATAAAGACAGCAGGTTAAGGCCACCACACACACACACACACTATACACATAAGCTAGAGGTGGGAAACACCTCAGCTACTGTGCGGCAATATCTAAAATAACAAGGGAAGAAAATGCAACAGGTGCCAGCCAGCTGGGTTACCGGTAATTAATGGGCATCGTTCCGGTAATCTACGTGCCAGCTACTATGCAGTCGAAAATAATAATTTACTGCGCAAAATTATAAAATGCTAAATAAGGAGATCGTAGTTGGAAGGGAGGCTAAGAGGAATGAGGTGGGACAAAGGAACTCACAGCACGAAAGCCACTGAGGTCGGCTCCTAGCCATATCAGCAAGTGCAACCAGCCAAATCTGTTCATCGTCTTTCAGACTCCAACCAGGGAGCCGAGAGGCTCCAACTGAGGCCAGCTCAGAAGTGACGGCCTTCATTCCTTTCAACCAAGTCATCGCTTGGTTACCTCTCCTTTTCTTCCATCCACACCCCTTGCGCGCAAACAACGCACGTCGCGGGAGTCGGTGGGCAGACATGCGTAACACGTGACGGGCCATCGGAGCCTGGTACGTGAAATAACGGTGCTGAGCGGTTCATCTCCATTTCCTATGTCCTAAACAAGGCGTCGAACACGCTCGTTGCTCACGTGGTGTTCCCACTAGGTGTGAGCTAAGTTGCGAGGGCACCGGTGGTCAAAAGTAATTAGCCTCTTTATGTCCGCTGATCTAAGGGGCCAGGATTCACAACCGTACAGTAGGGTCGAACGTACCGCTGCATTGTACACTCTACCCTTCAGGGCAAGTGATTTCGCGCCGGCGCCATAAGTGGCGAAGATTAGCAAAAGCACTTCGAGCTTTTGCTATATTGTTCGTGATTTCATCTTCAATCTCACGGGCGCTGATACAACTTCCCAAGTAGTTGAATTTTTGCACGACTTCTAGCTGATCCCCACCAACTGTCAACATAGGAGGCGGTCCAGACCAGTCTTGGAGAAACGCTTTGCACTTCGATTTTGCGAATCAAAGCCCGAAGTGACGGACAGCTAGTGCTAATGTGTCCAGTGTAGCTTAGCACTTTTGTGAGCTGTCACGGATTAGGGCAATATCATCAGCATACTCTAAGTCAAGAAGTCGTTCACCTGAGGGCAGATCCACTCCTTCTAAGTCGTGTCTTGTGAACGCGATTTCCATGATTTCATCAACAGCGAAGTTGAAGAGGATAGGTGACAACAAGCCTCATCGTATCACACCGCTGGAGATATTAAATGGCGACGACAGTTCGCCGTAAGCCCTCATTCTGCCAGAGCTACGCGTGTAATGATCGGATAATATTTACATATTTCTCAGGTACACCTTTCCTGAGTAGACAGTCCCAAAGTGCACGTCTATCCACCAAATCGAATGAATCTTTGATATCAAACAACAAGACAACGGTGGGCCGTCAATGTATGTGACGGTGCTATAACAACCGACGCAAAGTGAAGATGTGGTCAATGTAGCCTCCACCTCGACGAAACTCTGCATGCCCTTTACGAATGTGGCTTTCAGGGTCGCCAGTCAGTCTCTGATGGATGACAAAGGCATGCAAATTGGAGGCGATGGAGATCAGACTGATTTCGCTATGGTTGCCGCGTTCCGATCGTGAATCTCCCTTAAACATTTGCACTACGACGGGGCGGCTCCAGTCGGTTGGGACTCTATCCTACTCCCACAGTTTCCTTTGTAGCTCGTGTAAATCATTTACAAGAGCAGGTTTCCCGAATTTGAAGAGAGCTGTAGGTTGATCATCTGGTCCCGCGACTTTATTTGACTTCAACCTTGCGATCTGACGTTCGACCTCTGAGCGAGAGGGTGGATCCAAGGGGACTGCCCAAGGAGCGGGGCAGTAAGTGGCCGGCAAAAGATCTAACAATTCCGACCGATTAAATTGCATTTCAAAGTACTCAGCCCAACGCTCCAAGCGTCTTGACAAGTTGTGCATAGTCCGTCCAATCTGGTCGCTCATAGTTTCACTAACACCAAATCTTCTGCTGCCCTATTCCCGTGTCAGCCGGAATAACTTACGATGTTTGCCTAGGGCAGCGGCCATTTCCATCTCTGATTCACCATGATACCACTAGGATTCGCGGTCACCCTTCAGGCTAGCACGGAGTCTTGCCCGGAGCTCTGTGCGAGTTTCATTGTGTTTACTTCCAACCGGAATATGCCGGTGCGCGTGATAAGTTCCAGAGACTGCAAAGATACCCAATGTCCATGTTGACTATTGGACTTAACACATGAGGATTTCCCTGCTGCTAGGAAGGTCTGGTGAACATGTGACCAGTGAGCTTTAACCAGATCCAGTGAGCACTTACTCAACTCGCATGACAGCGTACTATTATAGGCATTCAGGACAGCTGGTTTCGTCAGCTGGCTGATATCAATGCGCTCACAACGTTGTCTTGGGCGTCCACCAAAACGCATCCGCATGTCAGCACATACAAGTGCATGGTCGTTGTCCACACATGTGCCCCAAATTGAGCGACAGTTCTGAACGCAGCCTCTCCATCGGTAACTTATCGCATTGTTCTCGATTTGCGTCCATAGCTGGTTCGAGGCTGGTAGGCGCTAAGTCACCCTTCGACGAGTGCTGTGTCGGAAATTAGTGCTCGCAAGAAATAAGCGAGCATCTTCAAACGAATGAAGCAACCGCTCACCGTTATCATTACGGAAGTCTACAATATGTTGGCCGCCCAAATGCAGCTCATCAGTGGACAAATTTCCAAATTGAGCGTTCAGATCCCCAGCCAGCAAAACAGTGTCCAAACTTCTTCTGTGGGGAATGAGCTCGTTCAATTGGCAATAGAAGTCCTCTCTTACCGAATCTTCGCTAGAGTTTGTGGGTGCATAGGCAGCGATAACGAATAGACACCTGCTAGTCCTGCGCGACTTCAAATCTTTGAATGAGCCAGCCAATCGGACCGGACCCAACCGGCTACTGATTGGAATCCAGTCAACCAGAGCAGTTTCAGCCCGGGCACTCAGGCCAATAACAACACCGGCTTGGCCGGTGCTCGAAGCTGCATCGTCACCGGAGACGCGCAATGAGAAAGTGCTGCTGGTGTCACCAGAAGTGGATCGCCAAGTGAGCACAGTGCTCGAGTCTTGCAGGCTGGTCTCCAATAAGCAGCAGATATTGATCGAGAGGGTCTCTAATGTTCGGGCATGTGCCTTCTCTTGATCGACCTGTAGCAATGTACGTACGTTGAGGCATGCCAGTTTGGAGGATGATTGAGGGCTCCAAATGAAAGCCGATGAACTAAGATGAACCGCTTGTTTGGACATGAGCTTGTCAACAGGACAGGAATGAAGCTCCGCGTTCACATGTGAGTTGAGAATAAATGGTAAAAGTCTATCATGGCAAGGAGAGGGATGACCAAGAATTAGGGGTTTGTAAAGAGTGGGGAGAAAAGTGAAGCTGGAACGGGACGGTAAGAATGAAAACGCGTAAGAGAAGGAATAAGAAGACAGGAAGGCTTGAGCAGTAGCATCAAAACCCCTATCCACCCTGCTCGATGCAGCAGATAGGGCACCGTTGGTTATCCTCTACGGTTGCCAGAGCATCAAGAAACTTGTTGAAGAGAAATTCATTGCATTACGTAGGCAGGATACTGTCAGGTTGCCCAGGCCTAGACAGGAGAACGATTAGGGTTCTCAACCCAAGCCTTTGGTTCAAAAACCTGACAGCAAGGCAGTGGGTTTGGCGTTGGGAGTCCGTTTGAAGGAATAAGGAGCCACCCTCATTCTAACCCTAAACCTGGAGGACCAGGAGGCTGAGTTTTTCTGGCCTTTAACTATTGACCAATCTGGTATGAGTGACTCTGAAGGTGCAAAAGCACCACCCAGCATAGCTCAATGGATCAATGAGGCACACAAACCATCGCACCACGGTCAGGTCCAGCCCCATTGCGATGGTGATCGAGGTAGAGGAACATGCTTTGAATGCTAAATTGTCATATATAACACGGCGACTGTTATGAGAGGATAGGAGTCACTCCCTCTTCGTTGTGCTTTGTTTTCTACTTCGACTATCTAGGATCAATTTGGTAGTTCTGATTAAACTTTCGTCATGAAAGATATGTTAACGCTTGTGGTTTCTGAACTGGTACATAGAACGCTAGTTTGAGTTAGCTGCACGGTCGTGTTGCATGACACTGGTAGCGGGGTCAATATTTTTATTCATGCTGCTCGGATTCTGCTTGTAATCTTGGCACACCGTTCCAATTTAATTTAAAATAGCGAAAATTTGATGGCGTGTAACAGTACTAAGAAGGGTAGCAATGGAAAGCAAGCAATGGTCCGCCATGTTCCAGGAAATTTCCATGCAATCACTTTTGAAGGGATAATCTAATTTGCAAACTTCAGACATAAGAAACATACTGCGGAAAATTTACGTAATAGGAATGCTTGGACAATTGTCTTTTGACGAATGTCTGTAACGCGCGCCAAGTTAGGAATTCAGATAATTCAAGCTATGCGTTGCATAATGTGTGTATTTGCAAAGCTATTAAAAGCTAACCAAAACACTGAGTTTGTTTAGATAGATCATCTAACTAGATACAGTATGTTCAGTGAATACACTGTCATTAAGTCTTACTGTAGTAATTAGGTTAGTTTCGTGCTTCCGTAGCATGATTTTAGAAAGGTTTTAAAAATGTGTTTAATTCGGTCCTATTTACTGAATTCTTGCGTGTCATGAACCGCGCGGCG